CATGTTTGAAAGGGTAATTTGAAAGCAGTCCATTGCAACCCCTTTTTGATATTGTAAAATGTATTGAGACCACAGGACTAAATAATGCCATGCCTTTGTTTTGATCCAAATCCAGTTTCAGATAGTTTGTCATTTAGCTAACATCAGCAACTAATGATTATATGCATGGTTACTATCTTCTTAGTGCATTATTTTTGTATCTCAGTTCCAGGTGACAAACGGGCAGACTAATCCAGGGAGGGAGTTGAGGACGAGACGCTCTCCTTGGAACTTTATGTCTACATAAGCATCAAACAGTGACTGTGCTACTACCGAGGTAATTCAGTAATATGGAGCCGTCTCCACAATATGTTTATTCTTTCCTTTTCACTATGTACCAAGATAAGACCTTTTACATTTTACAATGTTTACATGTATTATTATGTACATTTAAGTAAGTATTCTGTCTGTAATAAATTAAGTGTATTCATTTACTCTGCAACATAGACATTTTCAAGTATTTGCCTTGGATGTCACAAACTACACTGGAGCAGGACTGTAAATGAGCCACACGGACATCTTCTGGAATACCATTTTGCAACTTTGATAAATTCTATAAATTATGCCAGACGCTAGTTTGTATCTGCACAATGAATGGGAGCTTACAGATACATTGACCAATCACTTTGTTGATAATCAAACTCTTAGTATCAAACAAAATGGTGTGTCTGATTGTGATGGAATAAAGTGATCAGAAGGTGTCGCACCATTAACATTCTTTCAGATCTGCAATATGGGTACTTTTTAAATGTTTTATAAGATTCTTAACTGTATGATAATAACTGGCTCTTAAACTTCTTAAACCTATGACATGTTATTATTTGTCCACCTAGGGAAACAAACGTTTGTGAAACGCAGCTGGACGTCAGCAGAAAGTGCTGCTGTGGAACAACACTTGGGTTATGAAATGGACAATCAAGAACCAGGTTCCAGGGAAAGATGCATGTGAGGATTGTATCCCTGCCGAACCTCAAGCCCTAACAAATAGGGACTGGGGAGCCGTTAAGTATTACATGAACATTTCAATTTCTTCTCTCCGAATGTAAATGAAATAAAATTGAACCAAGGAAAAATACGTTCAATGTTGAAAGAAGGATTTCAAGTACCACTACCAAAACTAGGGGCTTTACCTAAACCAAACCAAATTTTCATTTTTGAATCGTCAACTAATATAAATTAAAGGGAAATCAATTGCATTCCGATTATGCTGCTAGAAAGAATCATCCATGTTTTCAAAGATTTCCTTTTTTGCTTTTAGGGTTTTCCCTCTCCTGTAGTGTAGAAAATATATTTTTGTGCATGTAAATGTTTTTCAAAGTCTAAAATCCCTCATTGAAGCATGGAAACATTTCACAGGAGAGAAACTTTATACAAATTTGAACCTCAAAATGACCAGAATATGTCATTGTTAAATGTAACTCAAAAGGAGGTAAAAGTCTACTGATTTGTTAGGCCTGTTTGTTTTGTTTTTTGGGTCATGGGATTGGTCAAGTTGTACATTTTGTTTTAATGACTGATTTTAAATGCCATTTTCTTAATCTCTTTCATTTTTTGTAAAGCACTTTGAATTGCCTTGTGTTGGAAAGTGCTATATAAATAAACTTGCCTTGCCTTGCCTTGCCTTGCCTTAACGATATAGAAACACCCCAATAATATACAAATAAATATTTATAGCATTAAAATAATGTTGTAGAGAGTTTATATGAATTATACTTTTTTCTCAAGAATTACTAATTGTTGCCTCTAAGAAAAAACAATGTTGAACGAAAAGGATCTTTAGGGGATTATTGATTTGGTCTCCATGGTGTTTCAATGTTACTGCCATGTCTACTGTCTAGTTATATTCTATGTTAAGATGAGGCTAATCACCTAAGTAATGACTTATTTTACCAGCAATGTGAATTTGTTGGTGTAAAAAATATAAGAGTAGAATGTAAATGTTCATGATGCTGTTCTGCAGTTTCTTTGGTAACAAGGAAAGTCCATTCAACTCAATAATGTCTCTAGTAACTCTGATCCCTTCCAAGATATGAAAACTAGAAATATGTGTGTGTCTCATCCCTTCCAAGATATGAAAACTAGAAATATGTGTGTGTGTATAATGGACCTCATAAGTGCTGACTGCTAGAAACTGGGCCCCACTAAGTGGGTAAAAAACTAGCATAATGACAAAAGCTTGGAATTATGTTTATTTGAAGTGATTTTTGTGATTCTAATTTTTTTTCTATATTGCCTGATTTTTTACGGAGGTCTAGTATGGTTGGAAAGGGTGGACCCCACAATTGGGTAAAATCAGTTCGGGCCCCACAATTGAGTTGCACAAGGATGTGTGTGTGTGTGTGTGTGTGTGTGTGTGGGTGTGTGTGTGTGTGTGTGTGTGTGTGTGTGTGTGTGTGTGTGTGTGTGTGTGTGTGTGTGTGTGTGTGTGTGTGTGTGTGTGTGTGTGTGTGTGTGTGTGTGTGTGTGTGTGTGTGTGTGTGTGTGTGTGTGTGTGTGTGTGTGGAGCAGAGCCCCGCCCTTCAGAATGCAGTGGACACTAGATTTCAACCACGTCACTGATGCATTTTTGTGGCATTGGGATATATATTTTTTAAATCCTCTGGAGCAGAGAGAGGAGCTGTGGATTATTGTTATTGATTAATGCATCAGTGTTTCTTAGGGTCAAAAACACTAAATTCACAACTTAAAATGAAAGCGTTTAGTTTATTTAATAAAAGAGCACATGTTCAATGTGAAAAGTGACAGTAGTTATAGATTATTTGCAATTTGGTGCTATATATATTTTTTTTTAAAATTATATATATTTTTTAAACACCTTGAATTTCAGGGGGGGGCGGGGCTCCGTTGGCGGGGCGCAGCGCCCCTCCAAAACAATGGTAGGGGAAACACTGGATAGTGTTTAATCAACGATAGGTTTCCCCCCCTCAAAGGTGATTGGTTCACTGCATCGCAGGTATTATTGTGATTGGCTCTTGGGCCACATCAAAATTAGACTTGCTGTCATCCTCTCATACTGACACCTGACACCACACATACACACGTAGGGAGAGCCGGGACGAAAGTAACGGAGCGATTTTATCCGAGCCCAAACAACTTTGACCGGACAAATTACGTTAATACTTAACAGACCTACTAAATATCAGGTTTAACTGTCAGGAGTAGCTAGTGTTGTCACGATACCAACATTTTGGTTTCAATACCAAGTCAAGAATTGCGATTCCGATTATTTTTCGATACTTTTCTTAAAAAACAGTCTTAAATGTAATTATTGTGCTTTATTTCACACCAGAACCATAACCATAACACAAACTTTTAAACAATGAGAACAATAAATTAAATAAATGACAAGATTTCCTATTAAATACAATTAATACATTTCTTACAGACAGGCCTCGTGGTGTCCGTAGGCTTGCCCTCACTGTCAGAGATATCGCTCAAATACTTCCAAATTTCGCTTCTGGCGTCTTTTTTGTCAACAAGCCGAGGCGCAGCGGCAGCTGCACTCCCACTTGCAGCCATGCTTCTCGCTTTCTCACATGCTCTGGCAGCTAGCGCGTGCACGAGAGAGGGGAGGCACTTAGAGCGTACTTGAGAGGGGCGGGACTGCAGGCACGGCTGCAGTGCAGGGAGTGGAAGCAGAGCGCTGAACACACACGGCTCTTATTAAAACGGCGCTTTCTCACCGGAGTACTTTCCCCCGTCATTCTTAAAGTACCGATACTAATGAAACGGAGGAATCGTAACGTTTTTAACGACAGGGTATCGCGGTATACCTTTCAAGTATCGGTACACCGTGCAACACTAGTCAGGAGTCAGTGTCTCTCCCCCAAACTCACACATATACAATTCGATATGAACTGAAGAGCCGCATGAAACTAGGCAAAGAGCCGCATGCGGCTCGAGAGCCGCGGGTTGGCCACCCCTGTCTTAGTGCATTCTTGTGTTATAGGTTCATTCTACGTATATTTCTACACTTCCTGAGCCTGTGCATGTTTGAAAGGGTAATTTGAAAGCAGTCCATTGCAACCCCTTTTTGATATTGAGGTAATTCAGTAATATGGAGCTGTCTCCACAATATGTTAATGTTGTCCTTTTCAAGAGAGGACCTTTTTAAAAAAAAAACTATTTTCTGATACAGCTTTAATCCTGTTACTAATTGAGTGATTTGTGTAGATCTGACTGAAGAAACTAAATTGAACATATTTTTAGACTAGCTATAATGGGATTTGTTACTTAAACCTGTCACACACACTGGTTTCTAGTCTTGTCCTTATGGGGCCCTCCCGTTTGGTTATAACTTAAAGTCATTTAAAAACATTTATGCAACACCTTTTAGAATCTAAACTCTAGTTGTTGTAGGCGTAAGTTAACACTTTGTGAGCATAAGCATGGTTAAAACGGTTATCATTTACCTTAGCCTCGATGGGAGTAGTTACATAAACCTGTCACACATACTGGTTTCTAGTCTTGTCCTTATGGGGCCCTCCCGTTTGGTTATAACTTAAAGTCATTTAAAAACATTTGTGCAACAACTTTTGGAATCTAAACTCAAGTTGTTGTAGGCTTAAGTTAACACTTTGTGAGCATAAGCATGGTTACAACGGTTATCATTTACCTTAGCCTCGCTGGGAGTAGTTACAGAAACCTGTCACACACACTTGTTTCTAGTCTTGTCCTTATGAGGCCCTCCCGTTTGGTTATAACTTAAAATGAATTAAAAGATTTCTAAAGTACCTTTTTAACATCTAATAGTAGGTCATTGTATGTATAAGTCTACACTTCCTGAGCCTATGCATGTTTGAAAGGGTAATTTGAAAGCAGTCCATTGCAACCCCTTTTTGATATTGAAAAATGTATTGAGACCACAGGACTAAATAATGCCATGCCTTTGTTTTGATCCAAATCCAGTTTCAGATAGTTTGTATCTTCTTAGTGCATTCTTGTTGTATCTCAGTTCCAGGTGACAAACGGGCATACTAATCCAGAGGGAGTTGAGGAGGAGAGGCTCCCCTTAGACTTGACTTTCCCCGAAACATCAACAAGTGACTGTGCTACGACCGAGGTATTTCAGTAATATGGAGCTGTCTCCACAATATGTTAATTTCAAGAGAGGACCCTTTTTAAAAAAACTCTTTTCTGATACAGCTTTAATCCTGTTACTAATTGAGTGATTTGTGTAGATCTGACTGAGGAAACTAAATTGAACATATTTTTAGACTAGCTATAATGGGATTTGTTACTTAAACCTGTCACACACACTGGTTTCTAGTCTTGTCCTTATGGGGCCCTCCCGTTTGGTTATAACTTAAAGTAATTTTAAAACATTTATGCAACACCTTTTAGAATCTAAACTCTAGTTGTTGTAGGCGTAAGTTAACACTTTGTGAGCATAAGCATGGTTAAAACAGTTATCATTTACCTTAGCCTCGATGGGAGTAGTTACATAAACCTGTCACACACACTGGTTTCTAGTCTTGTCCTTATGGGGCCCTCCCGTTTGGTTATAACTTAAAGTCATTTAAAAACATTTGTGCAACAACTTTTGGAATCTAAACTCAAGTTGTTGTAGGCTTAAGTTAACACTTTGTGAGCATAAGCATGGTTAAAACGGTTATCATTTACCTTAGCCTCGATGGGAGTAGTTACAAAAACCTGTCACACACACTGGTTTCTAGTCTTGTCCTTATGGGGCCCTCCCGTTTGGTTATAACTTAAAGTCATTTAAAAACATTTGTGCAACACCTTTTGGAATCTAAACTCAAGTTGTTGTAGGCGTAAGTTAACACTTTGTGAGCATAAGCATGGTTAAAATGGTTATCATTTACCTTAGCCTCGCTGGGAGTAGTTACAGAAACCTGTCACACACACTTGTTTCTAGTCTTGTCCTTATGAGGCCCTCCCGTTTGGTTATAACTTAAAATGAATTAAAAGATTTCTAAAGTACCTTTTTAACATCTAATAGTAGGTCATTGTATGTATAAGTCTACACTTCCTGAGCCTATGCATGTTTGAAAGGGTAATTTGAAAGCAGTCCATTGCAACCCCTTTTTGATATTGTAAAATGTATTGAGACCACAGGACTAAATAATGCCATGCCTTTGTTTTGATCCAAATCCAGTTTCAGATAGTTTGTATCTTCTTAGTGCATTCTTGTTGTATCTCAGTTCCAGGTGACAAACGGGCATACTAATCCAGAGGGAGTTGAGGAGGAGAGGCTCCCCTTAGACTTGACTTTCCCCGAAACATCAACAAGTGACTGTGCTACGACCGAGGTATTTCAGTAATATGGAGCTGTCTCCACAATATGTTAATTTCAAGAGAGGACCCTTTTTTTAAAAACTCTTTTCTGATACAGCTTTAATCCTGTTACTAATTGAGTGATTTGTGTATATCTGACTGAAGAAACTAAATTGAACATATTTTTAGACTAGCTATAATGGGATTTGTTACTTAAACCTGTCACACACACTGGTTTCTAGTCTTGTCCTTATGGGGCACTCCCGTCTGGTTATAACTTAAAGTAATTTTAAAACATTTGTGCAACACCTTTTAGAATCTAAACTCTAGTTGTTGTAGGCGTAAGTTAACACTTTGTGAGCATAAGCATGGTTAAACCGGCTATCATTTACCTTAGCCTCGATGGGAGTAGTTACAGAAACCTGTCACACACACACTTGTTTCTAGTCTTGTCCTTATGGGGCCCTCTCGTTTGGTTATAACATAAAATGAATTAAAAGATTTCTAAAGTACCTTTTTTAACATCTAATAGTAGGTCATTGTATGTATAATTCTACTCTTCCTGAGCCTATGCATGTTTGAAAGGGTAATTTGAAAGCAGTCCATTGCAACCCCTTTTTGATATTGTAAAATGTATTGAGACCACAGGACTAAATAATGCCATGCCTTTGTTTTGATCCAAATCCAGTTTTAGATAGTTTATCATGTAGCTAACTTCAGCAACTAATAATTATATACATGGTTACTATCTTCTTAGTGCATTATTGTTGTATCTCAGTTCCAGGTGACAAACGGGCAGACTAATCCAGAGGGAGTTGAGGAGGAGAGGCTCCCCTTAGACTTGACTTTCCCCGAAACATCAACAAGTGACTGTGCTACTACCGAGGTAATTCAGTAATATGGAGCTGTCTCCACAATATGTTAATGTTGTCCTTTTCAAGAGAGGACCTTTTTTTTAAAAACGCTTTTCTGATACAGCTTTAATCCTGTTACTAATTGAGTGATTTGTGTAGATCTGACTGAGGAAACTAAATTGAACATATTTTTAGACTATAATGGGATCTGTTACTTAAACCTGTCACACACACTTGTTTCTAGTCTTGTGCTTATGGGGCCCTCCCGTTTGGTTATAACTTAAAGTAATTTTAAAACATTTGTGCAACACCTTTTAGAATCTAAACTCTAGTTGTTGTAGGTGTAAGTTAACACTTTGTGAGCATAAGCATGGTTAAAACGGTTATCATTTACCTTAGCCTCAATGGGAGTAGTTACTTAAACCTGTCACACATACTGGTTTCTAGTCCTGTCCTTATGGGGCCCTCCCGTTTGGTTATAACTTAAAGTCATTTAAAAACATTTGTGCAACACCTTTTAGAATCTAAACTCTAGTTGTTGTAGGTGTAAGTTAACACTTTGTGAGCATAAGCATGGTTAAAACGGTTATCATTTACCTTAGCCTCGATGGGAGTAGTTACTTAAACCTGTCACACATACTGGTTTCTAGTCTTGTCCTTATGGGGCCCTCCCATTTGGTTATAACTTAAAGTCATTTAAAAACATGTGTGCAACACCTTTTAGAATCTAAACTCAAGTTGTTGTAGGCGTAAGTTAACACTTTGTGAGCATAAGCATGGTTAAAACGGTTATCATTTACATTAGCCTCGATGGGAGTAGTTACAGAAACCTGTCACACACACTTGTTTCTAGTCTTGTCCTTATGGGGCCCTCCCGTTTGGTTAGGACCTAAAATGAATACAATTATTTCTAAAGTACCTTTATCACATCTAATAGTAGGTCATTGTATGTATAATTCTACACTTCCTGAGCCTGTGCATGTTTGAAAGGGTAATTTGAAAGCAGTCCATTGCAACCCCTTTTTGATATTGTAAAATGTATTGAGACCACAGGACTAAATAATGCCATGCCTTTGTTTTGATCCAAATCCAGTTTCAGATAGTTTGTCATTTAGCTAACATCAGCAACTAATGATTATATGCATGGTTACTATCTTCTTAGTGCATTATTTTTGTATCTCAGTTCCAGGTGACAAACGGGCAGACTAATCCAGGGAGGGAGTTGAGGACGAGACGCTCTCCTTGGAACTTTATGTCTACATAAGCATCAAACAGTGACTGTGCTACTACCGAGGTAATTCAGTAATATGGAGCCGTCTCCACAATATGTTTATTCTTTCCTTTTCACTATGTACCAAGATAAGACCTTTTACATTTTACAATGTTTACATGTATTATTATGTACATTTAAGTAAGTATTCTGTCTGTAATAAATTAAGTGTATTCATTTACTCTGCAACATAGACATTTTCAAGTATTTGCCTTGGATGTCACAAACTACACTGGAGCAGGACTGTAAATGAGCCACACGGACATCTTCTGGAATACCATTTTGCAACTTTGATAAATTCTATAAATTATGCCAGACGCTAGTTTGTATCTGCACAATGAATGGGAGCTTACAGATACATTGACCAATCACTTTGTTGATAATCAAACTCTTAGTATCAAACAAAATGGTGTGTCTGATTGTGATGGAATAAAGTGATCAGAAGGTGTCGCACCATTAACATTCTTTCAGATCTGCAATATGGGTACTTTTTAAATGTTTTATAAGATTCTTAACTGTATGATAATAACTGGCTCTTAAACTTCTTAAACCTATGACATGTTATTATTTGTCCACCTAGGGAAACAAACGTTTGTGAAACGCAGCTGGACGTCAGCAGAAAGTGCTGCTGTGGAACAACACTTGGGTTATGAAATGGACAATCAAGAACCAGGTTCCAGGGAAAGATGCATGTGAGGATTGTATCTCTGCCGAACCTCAAGCCCTAACAAATAGGGACTGGGGAGCCGTTAAGTATTACATGAACATTTCAATTTCTTCTCTCCGAATGTAAATGAAATAAAATTGAACCAAGGAAAAATACGTTCAATGTTGAAAGAAGGATTTCAAGTACCACTACCAAAACTAGGGGCTTTACCTAAACCAAACCAAATTTTCATTTTTGAATCGTCAACTAATATAAATTAAAGGGAAATCAATTGCATTCCGATTATGCTGCTAGAAAGAATCATCCATGTTTTCAAAGATTTCCTTTTTTGCTTTTAGGGTTTTCCCTCTCCTGTAGTGTAGAAAATATATTTTTGTGCATGTAAATGTTTTTCAAAGTCTAAAATCCCTCATTGAAGCATGGAAACATTTCACAGGAGAGAAACTTTATACAAATTTGAACCTCAAAATGACCAGAATATGTCATTGTTAAATGTAACTCAAAAGGAGGTAAAAGTCTACTGATTTGTTAGGCCTGTTTGTTTTGTTTTTTGGGTCATGGGATTGGTCAAGTTGTACATTTTGTTTTAATGACTGATTTTAAATGCCATTTTCTTAATCTCTTTCATTTTTGTAAAGCACTTTGAATTGCCTTGTGTTGGAAAGTGCTATATAAATAAACTTGCCTTGCCTTGCCTTGCCTTGCCTTAACGATATAGAAACACCCCAATAATATACAAATAAATATTTATAGCATTAAAATAATGTTGTAGAGAGTTTATATGAATTATACTTTTTTCTCAAGAATTACTAATTGTTGCCTCTAAGAAAAAACAATGTTGAACGAAAAGGATCTTTAGGGGATTATTGATTTGGTCTCCATGGTGTTTCAATGTTACTGCCATGTCTACTGTCTAGTTATATTCTATGTTAAGATGAGGCTAATCACCTAAGTAATGACTTATTTTACCAGCAATGTGAATTTGTTGGTGTAAAAAATATAAGAGTAGAATGTAAATGTTCATGATGCTGTTCTGCAGTTTCTTTGGTAACAAGGAAAGTCCATTCAACTCAATAATGTCTCTAGTAACTCTGATCCCTTCCAAGATATGAAAACTAGAAATATGTGTGTGTCTCATCCCTTCCAAGATATGAAAACTAGAAATATGTGTGTGTGTATAATGGACCTCATAAGTGCTGACTGCTAGAAACTGGGCCCCACTAAGTGGGTAAAAAACTAGCATAATGACAAAAGCTTGGAATTATGTTTATTTGAAGTGATTTTTGTGATTCTAATTTTTTTTCTATATTGCCTGATTTTTTACGGAGGTCTAGTATGGTTGGAAAGGGTGGACCCCACAATTGGGTAAAATCAGTTCGGGCCCCACAATTGAGTTGCACAAGGATGTGTGTGTGTGTGTGTGTGTGTGTGTGTGTGTGTGTGTGTGTGTGTGTGTGTGTGTGTGTGTGTGTGTGTGTGTGTGTGTGTGTGTGTGTGTGTGTGTGTGTGTGTGTGTGTGTGTGTGTGTGTGTGTGTGTGGAGCAGAGCCCCGCCCTTCAGAATGCAGTGGACACTAGGGCTGCTCGATTATGGCAAAAATCATAATCTCGATTATTTGGGTCAATAATTGATATCACGATTATTAAAAACGATTATCCATGTACTTTGAAAACATCCATTTATTGGAGGAAAACAATTTGAACAGTATGTTTTTAACAGTTGATTACCCTGAACTTTAAGTATAACTCAACTGAAATTAATAATAATAAAAAAAATAATCTTTATATTTCGATTACGTTGTTTTCGTAATCGTTGCAAGCCATAATCGTAATTGCGATTAAAATACGATTAATTGAGCAGCCCTAGTGGACACTGAAACATGCACAGACATTGGATAAATAACATAAGCGTTTAGTTTATGTAATAAAAGAGCACACGGAAAAGTGACCGTAGATAGATGACTTCAGTTGCGATTTGGCGCTATATATAATATATATTAACCCTCCGGTATCACTGCGGACATTTTTGTCCCGAATGACTAATGTGTGACTTTTTTGTTCAATCTGATTTTGTGCAAAAACTAATAATGCAAAAAAATCTATTTTGTTGCTAATCTTTGACACATCCAAGACTGTGATAAAAAAAAAAAGAGCCAGTCCCCAGATATGTATGTTTTGGAAAATAACTCATTTCCTCTGTTTTCATCATGAAAAAAAACAGTGGTTTCATGTATTCAAAATGGCATTTAAAGGGTTAAAATCCTGAAAATGATTACATTTTTGGTATTTTCTATTAGGGCGGAAGTTGCTTTAAAGATTGAACCCAAAAAAGTTGTGAAAAAAACCTTTTAATATAATGTTTTTATCAAAGTCTTTTGCAGTGGACATTTTTGTCTCGAATGACTAATTTGTGTAGTCCAATGGTAGGGGAAACACTGAGAACATAAGATAGCTAAAAGAGAATAGATGGGTAGCTTTACAAAAATAAATAACATTTGTATACATAAAAATGTCATTATAATTTCTCTGCACTACTATGAGTAATACCCAAAGGCAAAGCTAGGAAACAAATACCTACAAATACTTACTAAGATGGAATAAAATGTAACACAAAAGCGTGTTTTTGTTTGTACAAAAACAAATATTTTCTCTAAAAGTCTTTCAATGATAGCATGAGATTTCTTCTTGGATCTTAAAGACAAAGCAGTCTCAAAATGTCTTGAAGTTTACGTTCTAATCTGTCTTTGTTTGCTCTCTTTACTTTTCCTGTAGGTCCAGACGCTCCGATCCACTCTCTCCCTGAAGGAGCGCCCCCTGCTGGCCGACAGGACAACAACAGCCTGGATCCACCCAGAAAGGTAGATGGAGTGTGTGTAGAAGTGTGTGTGTGTGTGTGTGTGTGTTCATCTCACTGTGTAAAGACACCGTTTCATGGGGAAGAAATTCCAATAATAATATGTCTCCGTGTGTGTGTTCAAGTGTCTCCATGTGTGTGTGTGTGTGTTCAAGGGTCTCTGTGTGTGTGTTCAAGTGTCTCCATGTGTGTGTGTGTCATTCACCCTATATGTCATTGAAAACCTCTTATTTGTGACTTCTTTTGTTGAACTTTCCTTGTAGAAGAATGCAGCCGGGGATCAAGGGAAAAACAAAGGGGGGAGGAAGAAGAGGGAGTACGTACCCCAGAGACGGTCTGGAGGCTACGCTGTTCTGCTCACACTTTACAGAGTGTCTCAGGTACGCCTTCCTCCTTCACATCTACACAAAATACCTCCATGTTTTGCATCGTGGGTTCATTTGATGTCTCTCCCTCCAGATCCCAGGCAGCAAAGGCTACATGTTTAAGATGGAGCTCCAAGCAGAAGCTCAGCAGCTCTGCGATAAGTCCTTCTCTGTGGTGAGTGGAGTATTCGTTACAAGTGCATTTAAACCCGCTTATTACACCCAAATAAATTGAGGATTTGACACGACTAATGATTTTAAACATGCTTTCATATATTTGAAAATTATCGTTTTGCTTTCGCTAAGATAAAATAGTGGCGTAGCAACTTAACTTAAAATGACGACGGCACTAATCGAGATGTTCTGGTGCATAACTGTCAGTCTTTTACCTCCTTTTATTTATTTTGACATTATTAAACACCAATATGTAGAAGTATTGGATCATTGCGTGTGGGCTGTAACAGTTTAACACGGGTAGACACTCTGAAATGACCACGAAGCATTATTATGACACAGAATAATGAACTATTTAAATCAAATCAAGTTTTATTTATATAGCACATTTTCAAAACGATTTTTGGTCAAAGTGCTGTACATACAATCAAAATACTTTACAATAAAAACACTTTACAATAAAAACACTTAACAACAGCACAAATAAAAAAATCACACCTATTCTGTGTGTTGACATTTACGACCATCCCTGCTTCTAATCTCCCGTAAGGAATGTGATAATGGAGTCGTATGTTGATACTACCAGGTTTTATGGCCTGACCTGGCGGGCACAGGGGGGGTTTTACGACTGTGAGAACGCGGGCTTCTAAGCACCACGGATGTCAGAGACATCTCCATTGTTCCCAGGTGTTCACGTACCGTCCCCCAATTGACTCTCTGTATACTAGTTAAAAGGTCTACCAAGATGCGAGGCGGATCAGATTTGACATGGCAACCCACCCGTGCAGTCAGAACCTTTGACTGTGTGACTTGTGATGTGAATTTCTCCGGCCGATGCTTGTATTAAAGATCCGTGTTTGTTTGGAGGCATGTGGCGTAGTGGGTTAGTGCCTAGGTGTTGGGGTCAGGGGGTCACAGGTTCAAACCCCACTGCAGTCAGCATGTCGTTGTGTCCCTGAGACTCTTCACCCCAAATTGCTCCTGTGGGAGCCACAGTATTGAGTATGTAAGTCGCTTTGGATAAAAGCGTCTAACAAGTAACATGTAATAATAAAAAAAAGATCCATGTTAATAATATTTTTGTTTTTTTTAAATCGTACATTTGGGAAAACCCGGCGCTCCCGGAGAAATCCCGCTATGCCACGGACAAGTTAATGAACTTTAACCCGTGGTATTTATCTCGTTGTAATTGTAGCTTGCTGGAAGAATATCTAAGCCCCCTGATGTCATGCTAAGACATCTTACTAATGTTTGTTTTTTTTAAATCGTACATTTTGGGAAAAACCCGGTGCCCCCGGAGAAAACCCGTTATGCCACGGATAAGTTAATGAACTTTAACCCGTGGTATTTATCTCGTTGTAATTGTAGCTTGCTGGAAGAATATCTAAGCCCCCTGATGTCATGCTAAGACATTTTACTAATGTTTGTTTTTTTTAAATCGTACATTTTGGGAAAAACCCGGTGCCCCCGGAGAAAACCCGTTATGCCACGGATAAGTTAGTGGCTTTTATCTCCTGGCCTGCTGAGCTCGATTCTCCTGAACCGTTTTCATGTGTTCAAGGTAGTCATTGTCAACGGTGACGATCTTCACATTCAAGCCGTTCATTCGGTCTTGATCTTCTTGGACCCTTTGTCCGAGTTCGCCGTTTGGATTCTGATCCGCGGTGTTTTTGGCCTGCTGAGCTCTTTTCTCCCCAAACGTTTTCTTGGATTCAAGGAAGTCATTGTGAAGACTGACGTTGTTCACATTCAAGCCGTTCATTCGGTCCTGATCGCCGTTTGGATTCTGAACCGCTGTGTTTCTTTCCCTCAGCGGCTCATCACACATAGACTGCAGGTCGTTAATCTTTTCCTCCAGGGTTTTGTTCTGAGAACGACCCTTCCTCAAAACACCAATCTCTAGGTTAAGTTCCACAAGATCCTTCGCCATGGCGGCACTATCACACCTCAAGGTCTCGTTGGATGCCTGCAAAGCCTCGTACTTGATCATGAGATGCTTTTCCTTGTGAACCTCATTGCTCAAACCCTGGATCTTTTTAAACAAAGCCTCGTTCTTCCTCGTAACGTCCTCTCTCTCAGCTTTCGCCTCCTTGTAAGAGTCCTCGAGGTGCATGAAACGCAGATGCCTTTCCTTGAGCTGCAACACTTCTTCTCGCAGGGAGACATGTTCGAGGCTCATGGCGGCTTTTTCTGTCACCATTGCGTTGCAACGTTCCCTAATGGTGTCCTCGTTCTCAAGTTCTTGGCACAACTCGACTTTCTTTTGTTGCAACAATTGCATTTGCTGGAAAATCAACTCTTTTTCTTCCTTCGCAATGTTGTATGACCCCAGAAGATCCTCTAAACCCAGAAGCTTCTTTGAAAGCTCAAAGATCTCTTCTTGCAAGTCTTCGGTTTGGCTCATTTCCTCATATTTCGACCGGTTCATTTCGTCCATCTCAAACTGCACCATGCTTTCATTTTCAAGCTCCCTGCAGAGATCGTCCACTTCCTGCTGCAGAGCCTGGTTCTTCTGGAAAACCGTCTCTATCTCTGCCTTAGACACTTGGAAACGATCCTGAAGTTGCTCTTTCCTTTGTTTGAGATACTGAAGTTCTTCCTCAAGGCCACCATTTACTCTGATGGTTTCCTCTGCGTCACTTCTCAATGCATCAAGCATTTCCTCTGCAGCAGAATAGCTTTGGATCGATGAACGCACCTCTTTAATCTGTGCTTCGAGCTCTCTCTGTACACGTAGTGCAGCTTCATGCTCGGCTTTGATAGCATCGATGCTATCCAGCTCATCTAGCTTGTCAAACATCTGTTCCTCAAGGATCTGTCGTTCACGCTCCAATTCCTTGTTTGTCTGGATTAGTCCCTGGAACATCGCCTCTACGGTAACGTTATTTTCGATCTTCTCACTAAGAACCCTCACTGCTTTTTCGAGGTAGGCACACTTGCGCCTCGCGACATGTCCCTCTGCCTTCAGAGCGTCAAACTGCTCCCCCAGCGCTGGAAAGCTGCCGAACTGTTTTTGTATGGATTGCATTTCCACATGTAGGGTCTTGAGATGTTCTTCAACTGCCCCAAGACTCCTCCTAACTCCAGCGTAGTCACCTCCCAATTCCGCTTGTTCCTTATTGCACGACATGTTTTTTTAAGATGACAATGATACACACACAGTAGCAACTGGTAATACCTAACTGGTTGTGTTGTCAGCGTCAGACTGGTTTCTGCTAAGCCAAGATATGCTGTGCCTTGAAACTCAAACTGGTCTCCTTGCAGGTTCCCATTTGGAACTATCGATGATGTCACAAAGCACATCACAGCATCATCATGACATCACTTGGAATTTCTGCACAATGCTCAGGTGTAGAGATGTGGCCATGGCAACAGTGAAGATGCATTCTGGGTAACTTTGCCCAGGCATTCCATTTTTGAAAAAACAACAACAAGATGGCTGACTCCTACTCTCTATTCTACTCAATATTAAGGGAGTTCTTTGTGGAGGATTATGTGGTGAAAATGAACACACCGATGTTCTGAAACTAATATATAAAAAGGGACTTGTGTTGGGATGTCCTGTTAACAATAAACCATTATTATTACTCAAAAATTGTCGTCAAAAGCAGAGAAAATACTCCAATTGAAAATACTTCCTAATAATACTCTTTATTCAAAAAAAATGTTGAGTCTGTAGGCATGACATATTAATGTTTTTGGTACAAAATTAGCTTGAGAACAATTTTTTATTGGCCATTTATTGACTGATATGACGGCACAGGGTACCCTGATCAGAGCGTCCTGAATATTTGTATTTTAATTCAGTTAACTTTTATGTGTCTGTAGCCAGATCTGGGCAGTAAGTACACGGCCTGGTCTTCAGTGAGCACTCTGATCCAGAAGAACCTGATGATGAAGACCCACAACCCTGCAAGGTACAGAGGAAACACACACACACACACACACACGATGGATTGACACACACATTATTTCTGTACGATTTCAGATTCAGAGTGTTTTGAAGTGGAAACGGGGGCTTCTCTTTCGTTTAAATGGAGTTCACTCTTCCTCCCTCTTCAGGTATTCTCTGACAGAAGAGGGTCTGGCTTTAGGGGAGCGCCTCGAGTCTTTAGAGGGAACTAAAGGTCCAGAAGGAGACAGAGAGGAGGCCAGGAGTGAAGGAAACGAGCAGGAGGAGGGAGAAGAAGGTGGCCCGGGGATTGTGGACCTCACTGTTAGTGATGATGACGAAGAGGAGAAGGAAGAGGAGAGAATACAGTGAGTGTGCTTCAAAACTTCTGGGACAAAAACGTATCATTATCTCAACAAGTAACTCTATTCTGAAATGCATTTAAGTCGTACCTTTATTTTCCTTTTGTCATATGTTGTATAGACTAAGTGTTTAGAGACCAGTTAAACATTCAAGATTCAAGATAACGTGGTCTTGGTTCTGACAATCTTAAGTCCCAGCCTCCTCCAACAACTTACGACATAAAAAGGAATAAATATAGTCCAAAAATATATAGAACGGTGCAAGTAAAAAGCAAAAATAGGTCAACTATATACATGTAAAAAGTAAATACAGAAAAATACGGTGCTTTCTACTTTAATATACGAAAATAGGTAGACTTTCCTTTGTGTGTTTTAGCTTGTAATGTTTCTGATGAACTCTCCAATTGTAGATGTGTAAGTAATATATATTTAAGACCGAAATATCTCCATTATGTTTTATGATTGCACTTGTGTTGTTGAACTGTTTGTCAATACAATAAAAGGAATTGAACCGTCTTTTTCCAGACCTGCAGAGAGGCCGACCTCCTCTGCTTCCCAGCCGAGGGTTCTCGTTCCTGGGATGTTCTTTTCAGGGAAACCCCGAAATGTACCGAGCAGAAACCCAAAGTCCTGGAGTCTCCTTCCCGGCTCCTACGAGATCATCCTCTGTGTGGACTTCATTGAGACAACGGGGTAAGACCGCTGTGTGTTTTAAACTGTGTGAATCAAACGTGTGTGTGTGTGTGTGTTTCCTGAACGGTCGGTGTGTTTGTGAAGCGGAAGCAAAAACTGCAAGCAGGATCTGGTCAAAGAGCTGCAGAGGAACGGAGTGACGTTCGATGTGAGGAAGCTCAACGTGGGAGATTTCCTGTGGGTCGCTCGGGAAAAGGTCGCGCCTATTCCAGGTAACACAACGTAGAAAACAACTCGCCTATTGTGCAAAATCCACTGCTCCATGTCTCTTCTACATCAACATGTGTCCCCTCTTCTTCATGTCTCTTCTACATCAACATGTGTCCCCTCTTCTTCATGTCTCTTCTACATCAACATGTGTCCCCTCTTCTTCATGTCTCTTCTACATCAACATGTGTCCCCTCTTCTTCATGTCTCTTCTACATCAACATGTGTCCCCTCTTCTTCATGTCTCTTCTACATCAACATGTGTCCCCTCTTCTTCATGTCTCTTCTACATCAACATGTGTCCCCTCTTCTTCATGTCTCTTCTACATCAACATGTGTTCCCCTCTTCTTCATGTCTCTTCTACATCAACATGTGTCCCCTCTTCTCCATGTCTCCTCTACATCAGCATGTGTCCCCTCTTCTTCATGTCTCTTCTACATCAACATGTGTCCCCTCTTCTTCATGTCTCCTCTACATCAGCATGTGTCCCCTCTTCTTCATGTCTCTTCTACATCAACATGTGTCCCCTCTTCTTCATGTCTCTTCTACATCAGCATGTGTCCCCTCTTCCTCATGTCTCTTCTACATCAACATGTGTCCCCTCTGTGGAAAGAGACTCTGAAAGTTTCAGGAACAAAGATTCTCTCTCTTTTTGATCCATTTATATAAAAACCTGTCTGAAAATGAGCTGATCAGATTTTGGCCACTTTATGATGTCATAACGATGTTTTGGCTTGGGTAACCATTAGCCAATCAGCATCCAAGGTAACCCCCCCCCTCCCCCTTTATCGCCTGAATCTCCTCCTAGAGCACCAATAGCCGCGTTCACACCAAGTACTTTGCCGTACTTAGTTCCCAGCACTTAGTTCCCCCATGGAACTAAAGAGCCGATCGCGTTCACACCGGAATAAGTTCCCTGAGGGAGGATTACGCAAATGAAGCCGCTGACGTCACTTCTTCTTCTTCTGCTTTGGGTTTACTGGCAGGCCGCAAACCACTTCACGGCGTATACTGCCACCCAAAGTCCCCGGAGTTGGGGACTGGCTTCAGTAGAAGCTGCTGGGACTCCCAGCAGCTTCTACTGAAGCCTTCCGAGTAAATCGCCAGAACGCCGACACCTCCTCATCTCCACCGCTCCCATGTTTTATTTTGTGTTGCCATAAGTTAGTCTCTCTCTGTTGGTGCGCGGGGCGAATGCTAATAATGCTAATAATGCTAATGCCACAAATACAATGGCGGCTTCACAAAACTTTTCAGAGTTTTACGGGGCGTGGTTTGCAATTCGCCCAGCCAATCAGAAATTGGAACTTTTTTCTCCCCAGGAAAGTCCCACCTCTCTAGCAGGGACTGAAAAGCTGGGAAAAGTTCTCATGAACTAAATTCTCTTTTTGGTGTGAACGCAAAATCCCAGGAAGTATCGGAACTAAAAGGGAAAAGTACTCCGGTGTGAAAGTGCCTTATGTGTTCTTTGTACCCAAATGTCTCTCAGAGGGGCGTGGGGAGGGGCTCCTTATTTTCATCTAAATTAACAGACAGAGAATCAGCACTTTGGAAACAGGGCTGAAACAGAGGGGATTATGGGTAATGCTGCAATGATCTGTTTGGCGTTTCAGCCAAGCAGAGACAGGCTCTGTATATATCTAAGACCTGTAATATATCGATGAAACACAGTATAATAGGGGACCTTTACCATAAAGTAAAAGACACAGGAAGTGAGGAAGAGAATCCCATCACCTTGTTCCCTTAGCATGTCTCAAAACTATCTACATAAACTCGTAATTATTATTCTTATTTTTAAACATGTATTTATTGATTTTTTACATTTATCACATTACACAAACACAACCGAACATTAGACATATGGCAGATTACAAAATAATGCTAAAATGAAAAGTGTGCAGTTAGTAGAAATCAGTTTAAAGTACAGACCAAGAATATAAATAAATTAACAAATTCAACAGAAATACAACAAAAGCACAACCAGAGCTTACAATTCTCCAAATAGACGAACCGTATTCAACATTTCCTCACCGTGGTTTACTCTCTTCACTTTAACCGTCCACCGCTTCTGCAATGTCCCAATTTTGTAATAAATTCCAACTCGTAATCATTTAGTCTTTCTCTGACTCCAGGTCAGTTGCGGACCCCCGTTGGCCGTGAGCTCGTCCTGGATTACATCATCGAGAGGAAGAGGATGGACGACCTGTGCGGCAGCATCATCGACGGGCGCTTCAGGGAACAGAAGGTGAAGAAAATACATCTTCGTCAACTCCATCAAATTATTAGTCGTGTACTCCGTTAACCAGAGCCCTGCATGCTGACTTGAAATGGCTTGTTTTGCCCGACAAATGGTCAATAATCCCAAAGATATTTTCAGTTTATTATGATATGAAATGTAGAAATGCAAGAAGATTATCATATTTAAGATTAGACAAACCTTTATTAATCCCCATAGGGTTATTCTATCGGTAAAGCAGCAACAGGTATACGAGTGAAACACGGAATATATCAAAATAACAATATAATAATTCGGTGGAACTGTAAACATACATATATGGATACTTAAAATGTATATAAATGTCTGTCTTCAAGTGCATGTCCAAAAGTAGGTACATAGGATGCATCTTAAGTTTTATTTGAACTTGATGATTCATTTAAACATTTAATCGCAAATCAAAATGGTTAAATCTTCTGTAATGAGTTTCTTTGCTTTTACTCTCCGTATCTTTTGATAAAAAAAACCTTTTCCATCTTGTTATAAATTTGAAAACACTAATTGATATTCTACAATGCTGTTAATCAAATGATATAAAGAGTGTTTTTTTTACATGTGTTACTGTGCACAGCGAGAAATGTCCCTTTCTTCTCCTCATCAGTTCCGTCTGAAGCGCTGTGGTCTGCGTAACCCCTGCTACCTGGTGGAGGAGTGTGGGAAGGCTGCCTCTCACCTGAGTTTACCTGAGTCCACGCTGCAGCAGGCCATCATCAACACACAGGTGAGAGAACACACACTCACACACCTGCATGGTGGTTTAGGTGCTGTTTACACGAGAACGCAAACGGTTGTATCCGCTACTTTTCTCTTTCGTATAGCCCGTTCGTTCACACGAGGCTGTAACGGAGACGCGGAAACGATAACGGGTCCCAAGGTGGATAGATCTGCAACTGGAACGCTCTGGGGGGCCAAACGGCTCCGTGTGTACGCCCTATACGATCATTTCCTGATAACGATGAAGCCATAGCCCCGCCTCTCCCCGCCTCTGCTGCTCACTGCTGTAGCATGCTCAGTAGCTAGTGCTACTGAGCATGCTACAGATGTTAGTGCTAAATCTACAGCTCCTCTTAGTGTTGTCACGATACCAACATTTTGGTTTCGATACCAAGTCAAGAATTGCGATTCCGATTCTTTTTCGATACTTTTCTTAAAAAAAGGGAAACAGTCGTAAATGTAATTATTGTGCTTTATTTCACACCAGAACCAGAACACAAACTTTTAAACAATGAGAACAATAAATTAAATAAATGACTAGAATTCGTATTAAATTAATTTAAGCATCATCTATAAACAACTTTTTTGTTTTTCGCTTCTGGCGTCTTTTTTGTCAACAAGCCGAGGCGCAGCGGCAGTTGCACTCCCACTTGCTGCCATGCTTCTCGCTTTCTCACATGCTCTGGCAGCTAGTGCGTGCACGAGAGAGGGGAGGGACTTAGAGCGTGCTTGAGAGAGGGGAGGCACTTAGAGCGTGCTTGAGAGAGGGGAGGGACTTAGAGCGTGCACGAGAAAGGGGGGGGACTTAGAGCGTGCTTGAGAGAGGGGAGGGACTTAGAGCGTGCACGAGAAAGGGGGGGACTTAGAGCGTGCTTGAGAGAGGGGAGGGACTTAGATCGTGCACGAGAGAGGGGGGGACTTAGTGCGTGCTTGAGAGGGCCGGCACTTAGAGCGCGCTTGGGAGGGGAGGCACTTAGAGCGTGCTTGAGAGAGGGGAGGCACTTAGAGCGTGCTTGAGAGAGGGGAGGCACTTAGAGCGTGCACGAGAAAGGGGGGGACTTAGAGCGTGCTTGAGAGAGGGGAGGGACTTAGAGCGTGCTTGAGAGAGGGGGGGACTTAGAGCGTGCACGAGAGGGGCGGGACTTAGAGCGTGCACGAGAGGGGCGGAACTTAGAGCGTGCACGAGAGAGGGGGGGACTTAGAGCGTGCACGAGAGGGGCGGGACTTAGAGCGTGCTTGAGAGGGGAGGGACTTAGAGCGTGCTTGAGAGAGGGGAGGGACTTAGAGCGTGCACGAGAGGGGAGGGACTTAGAGCGTGCTTGAGAGGGGAGGGACTTAGAGCGTGCTTGAGAGAGGGGAGGGACTTAGAGCGTGCACGAGAGGGGAGGGACTTAGAGCGTGCTTGAGAGGGGAGGGACTTAGAGCGTGCTTGAGAGAGGGGAGGCACTTAGAGCGTGCACGAGAGAGGGGGGGACTTAGAGCGTGTACGAGAGGGGCGGGACTTAGAGCGTGCACGAGAGGGGCGGGACTGCAGGCATGAAGCAGAGCGCTGAACACACGGCTCTTATTAAAACAGCGCTTTCTCACCGGAGTACTTTCCCCCGTCATTCTTAAAGTACCGATACTAATGAAACGGAGGAATCGTAACGTTTTTAACGGCAGGGTATCGCGGTACCTTTCAAGTATCGGTACACCGTGCAACACTAGCTCCTCTACCACAACCATCAGCAACAAGTGGATAAATCCACCGCGGGGCATAAACAGAAGGGCAACCATGGCAACCATGCTCAGGGGTCTTCTTCGCTGCTTTTGGTGTATTTTGTGGCAGAAGTACAGCGCCACTTACAGGCCGGCATGTGTACTACAACGTCTCCAGCGCTCCCGAGCGGTCTCGTGTGAACGGAAGACTTTTTTGATATCGTATTCGGTTCGTTTGCGTTGGGGTCTTAATGTGCACTGCATTAATCACAAAACAAGATTTGTTTGAGTCTCTGATGTATACATGTTGTCTTTTGTATGTATGTGTGTGTGTGTGTGTGTGTGTGTGTGTGTGTGTGTGTGTGTGTGTGTGTGTGTGTGTGTGTGTGTGTGTGTGTGTGTGTGTGTGTGTGTGTGTGTGTGTGTGTGTGTGTGTGTGTGTGTGTGTGTGTGTGTGTGTGTGTGTGTGTGTGTGTGTGTGTGTGTGTGTGTGTGTGTGTGGTTATTGATCGCTTCTTTGTGAAGAGAGTCCAGGATGTGAGGGAGTCGATGGCCTACCTCACCGTCATGACTCGATACCTTAATAAACTCTACCAGGTAAACGTTTAAATACATATTTTATAAAAGCAATACATGTATATGTTTTTAAAATCGTCCCAAAAGATAAAACAATTACGGTAGGGTTTTGCCTCAACTTCAATCATTTAGACATGTTCTTATAGCCTTTTGAACCCTTGTTCTATAAAGAAATGAGTATATTGTGTATTACTGTATAGGGGTCTAAGACGGCCCCAAAACAAGTGGAATAGTTCTGATAATAAACTTTTAAATCTGTTTTCCAGAACTGTACGCTGACGTGTCGCTCCAGAGAGCTGGAGGGGGATAGAGAGGATGAGGAAGAGGAGAGAGGGACCCCCCCCTGCTCTCTTATCTCTTTTGCAGAGTTCAACCACGGTGCAATCAAAAACAAGGTGTGTGTGTCCGTCTCTTTGTTTTTGCATTTAAAGAAAGACTTTTTAGCAATACCTGTTTTAATTTCCAACTACCCTGTTGGTCCATAATCTATTTTTTACAATACTTTATTCAGAAGACAGTTGAGAACATTTCCCCAGTTACAGGGAGTAGTAGACATTAGCAATAAGGGATCAGTATCTGATGTGCATCTTATACCCCAGTCCTCAAAGACCTCCACTGGCTTCCTGTCTCCCATCGCATCAACTACAACATTCTGGTCCTCACCTACAAAGCACTCCACCATCTGGCCCCCCCTTATCTCACAAACCTTCTCACTCCTTATCAACCTCCACGGTCCCTCAGATCCACCGCAGCCGGACTCCTATCCATTCCCACATCCACACTCTGCAGCTTTGGGGACAGAGCCTTCTCAGTGGCAGCTCCTCGGCTCTGGAAGTCCCTCCCCCAAGATCTCCGTGACTCTGAGTCCCTCACAGTCTTTCAGTCCCGCCTCAAAACACATCTTTTCAACTCTGTGTCTACCCATAAGCCCCCCCCCCTCTCAATCAACTTCCTCTTGACTGCCTTTTTATTTTTTACTTAATTGTTTGCCTGTCCTTGTTTGTCTACCCTCCCTCATACTGTAAAGCGTCTTTGAGTTGTGAAAAGCGCTATATAAATAAAATGCATTATTATTATTATACAATGTTCATGAACTTAATACAATAACAGAAGGGATGTCTCGTCACAGAGGCATACTTGACAAACAAACAAGCAATTACAATATTTTGCTAATTAGACCAAGCAACCTTTTTATTTTGGTGATAGAACTGGTTATCAGCTCATCGGTTCATAATCTATTTTAATAAATAAATCTCTCCCTCTCAGAGTCAGACGGTGAAAGAAGTGTTTGCCCGGCAGCTGATGCAGGTGAGCGGACTGTCGGGAGACAAAGCAGCTGCTATACTGGAGCTCTACAGCACCCCGCTCAGGTAACCCACATTATGATACAGTCACACATCTCACCTGTTCAAGTATTCCTCCCTTTCTTTCAAAGGTGTTTTTAGATAACGTATACAAAGAATGAGGCAGTTAGCACTAGCAGAGATAGATATCATGGAAGCAAAACTTCACCTGCTGCCCGTCAAATACCGCATCGATTTTTAGTTTCTGACTCTCCCTCCATTTTCAAATCACGTCTCTTCACACCCCTGATCACATGACGCATCTTCGGTCCTTATTGATTATATTGCCTTGTTGTTCTGCTGGTTTTTAGTTTTGTGTGTCTTGTATGGCGACCTTGAGAGCCTTGAAAGGCGTCTATATAAATAAAATGTATTATTATTATTATTAAAACATTACATTTCAAGGATTCATTTATTTTTCATATCGCAAAACTACATTGTAATCTTAAGTCTCATGCTCCTCCTCCAACAGTGCAGCAAACAATATACCCAGCATGAAAGAGTTAGACATGAAACCCAATAAAATAATGCACTAGACAAAATGGGACAGGTAAGTTGAAGGAATATGAAAAATGTGTTCATATAATAAAGAATAAGATTAAAAAAAACCCTCATTGAGTTCAGAAACTCATGAAATAAACGAGACATTTCTGACTTTGGGTAATTAACAACAAGGTTGAAACATGAGGGTATACTTCGCGTCGGGCCGAACCACGCCCCTGAGCTGTGATATAATGAGCATATACCACGGCCTGAAGTGAGCTATTGCTTTTATAAAACGGTTACCAAGTGTGGCAATATGAAAGAAAAATACACACTCTAATTTAAATAGTTTTTATTAGTAAATAATGATGTTCAAAATAAAATAGTCCCTCCGTTGCCTTCTGCAAGAAACATAGTGCGAGGTGGTTGCTATGCAACAACACTAACAGCTAGCGAACATATTAGACAGAGAGCGTTGATCCATTATTTGGCTATTTATTTACATTAATTTGTATGTTTCCGTTTATTGTGCAGCCACTGAAAACCTGTCCAGCATCAGCAGCATGGCTTACGAGGTCACTTGTATAGGTTGAGGTTGTTCTAGGCTGTTGCTTGGCGTGGTCAGAATATTGCTGCACTTTCTCCGGTCCCCGAGATTGGGCTTCCAGCAGCTCTGGAGAGAGCTTTCGCACCTGTGGCCACTAACGGTCATCATGTCTCTGCTTTCAAGACCCGCATCAGAAAGCTTTTGAATGGTGCTACTTCTCCAGTTGGTCTCCCTGCTCTTCACGGAGCTCTGCATGTCGTCGTTTAGGTGCTTTCTGGAGATAGGCACTCCTCAATCCTCTCCTCCATAGTAAGACCCCCCGGAGGTCCAAGTTAACCTTACATGTTTCCATCTTAAGCTTTGCTAGTTAGTTTCATAACGGACTTAATGTAACAGCTGTAACGGTTGTAGCTTTTTCTCAGACGCGGAGGGATACTGACTTGTGAAAAGTAACTACGGCTAAGAACCAATCAGATTGCTTGATTTGACTTGTCCGTTTTATAAACACATTTTTATGCAAACTCTCTTCTATTCATGAGTACAAGACATTGCGCTACTGTAAGACATTGTTGACATTTAATTCAAATCTTTCTTCCTCTCTTAATCTCAGTCTCCTGACAGCCTATGAGCGATGTGCAGGTGAAGCTGATAAGGAGAAGCTCCTCTCCTCCATCAGATACGGGAAGCTCAAAAGGTTTGTAGTCCAACTGGTTTCATATTTCTCCCAGCATGCTCTAATGATCCATGTAGTATTTGTTGATAACAAGTTGAAAACCTGAGTCAAAGTACTGTGGCTTTTACTCACAGTTCAGATACAAATTGACGTAATGGCAGTACTGTAAGAAATTGCAATTAATTCACATTTAATTTCCCCTTTTTTCCAGGAACCTGGGTCCAGCTCTGAGCAGAACAGTTTATCAGCTGTACTGCACTCAGGGAGCACTGACGTAGCTTAATATAAAAACATATCATGAACATATTTTCACTTAGTTTCCATCCCTACCTTACTTGAATTAAACACATTTTAGGATGGAAACGTCCTTTGTTATGTAAATATTAACATGCTGCTAAGTTCTCATCACCGTAACATATTGCTACTTGTATGAAGAATTTCACAAACGCCCCCTGAAACTTAAATAAAGTTTAAGATTTTAAATAGTATTGTTGTTATTGCATATGGATGTTTTACACTACAGTTTGTGAAGAAAGCACTGTGGTAAACTTCTAGACAGTCAGAAATGAAATAAAGAAGAATATTTGTATTTGTAAAACCCTCTGTACTTTTCTTTGTGACCCCTGCTTTCATTTTTACATTTACGCAATGGACTATTTGTTCAAGACAAGATGACTTTTACAGCACTTTTCAGCGACAAATGCAAAGTATTTGACATCAAAAGCATTGAGACAACGTTCAAAAACGTCCCAAAAACATTTGATAAGAGGACGATTCAATGCAATTAAAAAAAAACAGTCATTAAAAAGTGAAGAAAATAGACTAAAAATAGAAAATGTAAGAATGTACATATCATACTATTAAAGGTAGTGGTGGGAAAGGTTTTTAAATTCCTTACTTGAGTAAAAGTACTAACACCACACTGTAGAAATACTCAATTTCAAGTAAAAGTATTGAAGTACGATAAGGGAATTAAAGTACTCCGAGTAAAAGTACTCATGTTTTAAAATATTTTAAAGCGATAACAGCAAATATTCACATTTAAGAAGCTGGAATTGTGAAATATATTTGAACAAAATACTTCTTATGGGTTTAGTTTTTTGTATTTTAAACGTGTTTCCTATATTGTGTGTGTCAACATCTGATTTTATTAAGTAACTAGTAAATACATCTGTATAATAAATGGAGTAAAAAGTATAACATTGCCTCCCAACATTAAGTATAAAGTAGTATGAATTATATTACTCAGGTAAAGAACAAGTATCTCAAATGTGTACTTGAGTAAATGCACTTCGACCACTGAAGAAAATAGAAATAGTAACTTTAAAAAGACAAAGGATAGAAAATGAAAATAAGATTTTATAGAATAATACCGGTATACAATGTACATATAGTACTAATAATAATAATAATACATTGAATTTTTATAGCGATTTTCCTAATGCTCAAAGACACTTAAATGCATATTTTAATTAAATATAATAACAACTTGGGGTACAATATTGGGGGTAGAATATTTGTTTGTGATGTCACATTCAAAGGTTATTTGCCTTATTTGTAAAGCAAGCGTCGCTCTGCCAAAGAAAGGTAACGTGGAGAGGCATTATCGGAGTGTTCACAAGGCATATGACAGCGACTTCCCTCCGAGTAGCGAGTTGAGAAAGGTCATGTATTATTGCTACACAAACATTATCTCGCAGTCTTAGTGTCGCCAACTCGTTTCTAACATGCAAAAAGACAAACAAATGTCGGTGTATTTTTTATCTTTCCAATCGAGACGAGATCTCTCTCCCCCGTCTGTGCGCGAGGGGGCGGGGCAGTTTACACACACGCGGCTGCTACAAGCAGCAACACACGGAGGAGATGGCGGAGAGAAGCGCTCCAAGGTGTGGTTAAATGTTACCCGTCTTGAGGTGGACAATGCTCCTTGCCAAGAGAGTTCAGCATGTGAGGGCGGTAACACGAGCAGTGTGTCTAAACATTTATCAAAAGTGCACCACATCCAGACGGAGGAATGCACCGGGCTCGACTGTCTTTCTAGCAGCTCTGTAGCCCCCCCATCCACGAGTAACATTTCCACGTCAGGTGTTATGTATGCTAGCAGCAACACACGGAGTTAACTCAATGATACAAACATGGGTTAATGATTAGAGGTAACTGAGTTACTCTTTATTTTGTTAAAGTTTCAGCTATTCTGTTCACAGTTCTGTCATCACATTATTTAATACGATTTGTTAAAACATTGTTGTTTCTTTTGATGCGAAATATTATTTATTTTATTTAAATAAAAAGCAATGTTAATTTTGTAAACAATTTGTTAATTTAATAATATATGTATTTTTGAATCAAGTATTAATCTTTATTGTCTTCATTGTTAGTTTCCACATGCCTAAAACAACCTCAAGCTAAATCTAAAAGTTGATGGCTAAACAAGAGGGTTTGAGAAATTGTGCAAGGCATACAGTAATAGTCTGAATAGTCGATTAGTCGTTTCATTAATCGATAGATTAATCGATTATCAAATTAGTCGTTGCAGCCCTATTATCCCATGTATAAATAAAACGTGTTATTCAGCAACCCTTGCAATTTGGGATTTTATTTTTGGTTGGTAGACCTCGGTGAGCTGGTCATTTCAAAAGTAGCTCACCAGCCCAAAAAGTGTGGGCACCCCTGCTCTAGATACTGTTGTTGCCTCAAGTAGGCTGTTTTAGACAAACACAGTTCTGATTGACTTTTTGTAAAATATTTAAATAATGTCACTCACATTTTTTAGAGCTGTTTAATAATAATCATCATTAAGTGGAGTAAGATTGCATGATTTCCCTTTTCAAGTTAGTGCAGTAGAAGTATGAAGTAGCATCAAATGGAAATACTCGAGTACAAGTACCTCAAAGCTGTAGTTAAGTAAAGTACTTTTTTTTTAAGTCGAGGCTAAGATGTCTGAAAATGTGCTATCTAAATAAACGTACCTTAGTAAATGTACTTCGTCACTCTGCCCCCAGGTCCAAAGGGATGCCCGCCTCGCAGCAGGTCCGGTTGGGTCGGAAACGCCCCCTGCCCTCCTGCCCCAACCCTCTGTTCCTCCAGTGGCTCACCGAGCTGCGGGACGCCGCCAAAGAGAAGGGCCTGAAGCTGCAGTACGTCTACCAGAAGGTAAGACATCAGAACAAAGTGCTCAGGCCTTCATACGTCATGTCTTTATTTACTGTTAGGTTTCACAGTTATAGTAAGTAGTAACACCACTGTGAAGAAATGTTATAACGTATTGCATGCAGTCTAACAAGTCCTGCATTCAAAATGTATTTTAAACATATTTACACTGTGTGTGTGTGTCACTGTGTGTGTGTGTCACTGTGTGTGTGTGTGTGTGTGTGTGTGTGTGTGTGTGTGTGTGTGTGTGTGTGTGTGTGTGTGTGTGTGTGAGTGTGTGTGTGTGTGTCACTGTGTGTGTCAATGTTTGTGTGTCACTGTGTGTGTGTGTGTGTGTGTGTGTGTGTGTGTGTGTGTGTGTGTGTGTGTGTGTGTGTGTGTGTGTGTGTGTGTGTGACTGTGTCTGTCACTGAGTGTGTGTGTGTGACTGTGTGTGTCATTGTGTGTGTGTTTGTGTGTGTGTGTGTGTGTGTGTGTGTGTGTGTGACTGTGTGTGTGTGTGTGTGTGTGACTGTGTGTGTCACTGAGTGTGTGTGTGTGTGTGTGTGTGTGTGTGTGTCACTGAGTGTGTGTGTGTCATTGTGTGTGTCACTGAGTGTGTGTGTGTGTGTGTGTGTGTGTGTGTGTGTGTGTGTGTGTGTGTGTGTGTGTGTGTGTCACTGTGTGTGCGTCACTGTGTTTGCGTCACTGTGTGTGTGTGACTGTGTCTGTCACTGAGTGTGTGTGTGTGTGTGTCACTGTATGAGGGGCCGTACAGGCCATAATTCATACTGGTCCTCTCAAGCACATACATTCTCCTTTTACATACATATATTTTATAATATGCATGTCTGAAGAGAATATATGTATGCAAGAGAAGAATGTATGTATGTGTGAAGACAATGTATGTATGTGAGAGAAGAATGTATGTATGTGTGAAGACAATGTATGTATGTGAGAGAAGAATGTATGTATGTGAGAGAAGAATGTATGTATGTGAGAGAAGAATGTATGTATGTGTGAAGACAATGTATGTATGTGAGAGAAGAATGTATGTATGTGTGAAGACAATATATGTATGTGAGAGAAGAATGTATGTATGTGAGAGAGAAAGTATCGTGGAAACGGAAGGAGTATGGTTGAAACGGAAGGCAGGTCATTCTTGCGCTGTGATTGGCTCAGAAGGTCGAGCGGGGCGGGCTCATGTTCAGAACTTCTGATTTCAAATCAACATGATGGAGGGAGATGAGTCGCGTAGATTGCAGCAAGCATTAGGGGTTTTAAGGAACATTTGGTCAACCCCTGAAACTGTCACATCCCTCGCCAGGTGTCCTTGCGGGTGCGTTCGCTTTACTTATCAGAGCGTGCCGTAAGGGCGGTTACTCTTTGGTTTATAAACTCCCGCCTGGGACGGACTGATGCATTAGATTATGTGCTATATGGAGGGGACTTTGACAGAGTATTTCTCACAAAGTACACAGTAAAAGTACTTCAATGTATTGTTAGTAGCAGTCAAACTAGTACCGAGTCCAACAGTGTCAGTTTTATGAAGAACTTGTGGTAAAATATATTTGTAAAAAGAAAATGAAGAGCTACTGATTTGAAAAAACGGCTCTCTGTATAGTTTAAATCTCCTAACAATGTTGTCCATTTATTCTTCTCCCCTCGAGTCCAACAGTGTCAGTTTTATTAAGAACTTTCAGTAAAAAATATTTGTAAAATATGAAGAGCAGCTGATTTGAAAAGACAAACGCGAGAGACGGCTGAGTGCCCGCAGTGCAGAATCGCTGTATAGTTTAAATCTCCTAACAATGTTGTCCATTTTAGACACATGCTTATTATATTTACAGCCTTAATAACATTCATTTTCTGGGCTCAATGTGTGTCTTGGCCGTTTTCGTTGTGATCGCTAAATTCACCTTGTTTCCCCTTGTTTATAATTATGTTCAACATTCCAAGCAAACGAGTGCTTTTGTTTTGAAATCACTTCCGCGAGTATCGCGCCCCCCCCCCCCCCCCTCGCTACAATGACCATTAGACCATTTAGTAAGGTAAAAAGCAAAAACGCCTCGCAGACACTCTTCCGTTTACTTGTTTAATAAAGAAAAACAAGTGGTCCGTAGATACACGGAGTCATCTAACCCTAACCCTCTCCCCCCATCATGTTGATTTGAATCAGAAGTTCTGAACATGAGCCCGCCCCGCTCGACCTTCTGAGCCAATCACAGCGCAAGAATGACCTGCCTTCCGTTTCAACCATACTTCTTCCGTTTCCACTATACTTTCTCTCTCACATACATACATTCTTCTCTCACATACATATATTGTCTTCACACATACATACATTCTTCACTTGCATACATATATTGTCTTCACACATACATACATTCTTCACTTGCATACATATATTGTCTTCACACATACATACATTCTTCTCTTGCATACATATATTCTCTTCAGACATGCATATATTATAAAATATATGTATGTAAAAGGAGAATGTATGTATTTAAGAGTGAAAATATATGTATGTAAAAGGAGAATGTATGTATGTAAGAGTGAAAATGTATGTATGTAAAGGAGAATGTATGTATGTAAGAATGAAAATATATGTATGTAAAAGGAGAATGTATGTATGTAAGAGTGAAAATATATGTATGTAAAAGAAGAATGTATGTGCGTGAAATGACCAGTATGAATTACGGCCTGTACGGCCCCTCATATGTGTGCGTGACTGTGTCTGTCACTGTGTGTGTGTGCGTGACTGTGTCTGTGTGGGGTATCTATATTACTTTGTAAGGGTAAACCCCAGCTCGGTTCAATAACCAAAACCCAGTGAACAGAGATAACAGATACTCGAGTTTCAATTTTACTTGCTGCAAGGAGAATCAGCGAGTGACAGGCCGTGTCCACTCCTTAACCAACTCCAACTCGCCTTCTCCCAGCGCATTCTTTTTATTTCAACAATACAGTAACATGACAATCATGTGGTGTTGACCAACGCCTTATTTGTTAGTGTGAATCTTGTGACTCTCAGTCATGTGAATCTGTGTGTGTGTGTATGTGTGGCACTGAACAGACTGTTCTCTGTTCCTCCATTATGCTTCTTGTAACACATTTATGAGAATACATTATGAAAACACATTTATCCTTCAATAAACTCTAACATTCCCTCCTGTTTTTCATAATTACTAGCTGGTTACAGTGTCTTTATTACTTTCAGAATTAATTCACTTGTTTTTGACATTTTCGAACCATTCGTCATATGACAGACAGTAACCTTTAAGTCTTACACATTGGAGGTTAGGTGAGTATATTCGTCCTTCTGAGAGGGGTCTGTGTCAGTATAGTCACCGTTATCTGTCTGTTGCAACATCGTTGAGTAGTGACCATTTTTTCTCTCGATGGACTTCTTCTTTTGTTGAGGATTCCTCACTCAATTGTCTTATAGTCATTAGCGTCAGACCCAGCAGGGTCACTACACACAACACCTATCCCAACATAGTCTATTGGTGATAGTGGTTCTGTTGTTTTCTTCACCGGGGTTGAGACCAGTATTTCCTAATGAAACACCGCCCTTTGTAGCCGGACTTCCACCACTTATCCGTCGTTAAGTTGGAGAGGTATTATCTTTTTGCAGTGGCTCTGATGTATCCACGTAGTTCTTTCGGCGATTTTTAGTGCAGTCGGTGTTGTCAGCAGTACCGTGTAGGGACCGTCCCACCGTGGACAGTGCCAATGCTTCCTCTTAATCACCTTCACGAGGACCTGGTCACCAGTCTGCACTCGAGTATCCTGTAAGGGAGTAGAAATGTCTGGCAAGTTATTTGTTCGAGCTATCTCATTGCTTCTGAAGAGTCTGCTCATCCATTCAGCTAATGTAGTCTCTGCCTCAGCATCACCCTCCTCCTTCACCTCGTCTGTGATTGGTAGTCTGAATTGCCTTCCTGTTATGATCTCAAAGGGAGACAACCCTGTTGCCGTGGGTGTGATTCTCATGCATGTTTCTACTTTCCTCTCTGTGGTCGCTCATTGCCTTGAGCATTGTGTCTGCAACATACTACACAGGCTCTACAAAAGTTTTTAGAAAATGTAATATAGTTGTATGTATGGAAGTGTTCATTTATTATTGTCACCATCCCTCCTGTTGAGACATGGCACGGCCCATGACTCAAATGAGCTGCTGTTTTGTAGAGACTAACAGGGAGTACTATCTTGTTGTTTATTCTGAATGTTCCCTCAGGGTCTGTGGTTAGTTTTTGGTCTAACGTGTACAGGTTTTGCGTTCACCATGCGACCTACATCACATTTTCCTTGTGACCATACGCATGGCGGCACCGTTTTCAGGACCTCTAAGGCCTCTTCACTTAGCATACATCATTGTTGTTCAGGGTCGTCTAGGTGGGCGCGTGGTGTCATCACTAGGGTAAACCCTAGAGTTTTGCGCTTTAACCCGCCTCCAGTTTGCCAACCGTTTTTGTCATCTGTCCATTTTGTTATCCTGTTACCTCTAGCCACTAATAAACCTAAGTCTCTCCATGAAGTCTCTGGGCCCCTAGCTACTGATATGTGTGGCGTGGAACCTGGTTCCATTATCAAGGCAGTGGTTGATGGGACCCTAGCATCTATTACAACATCCCCGTGTTGGTTTGCATACATCGAGTGGAACACTACCCTCTGTGGTGTCAGTCGATGCACGAGCACATCATAGTCTTTGTCTGGGCCAGGGGTGTTCTTGTACTTTAGTGTAACGTGCAATGCGTCAGGTTTCATTACTTCTTGGTCATGTTGTGGGGTGAATAGTGTTAACAGGTGTTCACCTGTGTTTGTCACGTCAGGTTGTGGCATGTCTAGTGACCAGTAGTAGTTGGGGGTGTTTATGGATTTTTGAAGGAAGACCTGGTCTTCCACCTTTTCTCCGGGCCCTACTGCTCGCATTCCCCCTTTGACTGGTACTACACTGATTTTTAACATTTCCATGCCGTCTCTCCCTAGCAAATTGACAGGGCAGTTTGAGATGAACA